GGAAAAGGCAGTAAGACATATCGACGTGACAGAAACACATCGATTGGTGGCCTCCTGCACCAGCCCCAACCAGGGAGGAGCCTGTAACCCAGGTACATGCCCTTGACCGGAATCGAACCTGGGACCCTTCAGTCCGCAGGCCGACGCTCTATCCACTGAGCCAAACTGGCTAGGGCTCGCCTCGTATTCATATCAGAGACTTGAATAAAGGCATAAGAATGCTTATCAAGTTTAAAAATGACTGAAAACTGGGAGGAAAAGCAAAGTGTGTCGTAATAGAGTAGATATTCAGAATGACCTCCATAGGATGAAATCTGGACCAGGACCAATAGCTTTAAAAGAGGTCAGTAGGGCCAAAACTGGTTTGGCTCAGTGGATAGAGCGTCGGCCTGTGGACTGAAAGGTCCCAGGTTCGATTCTGGTCGAGGGCATGTACCTTGGTTTCGGGCATGTTCCCAGTAGGGGGTGTGCAGGAGGCAGCTGATGTTTCTAACTCTCTCCCTTCCTCTCTGTAAAAAATCAATAAAATATATATATTTTTTAAAAAAGAGGTCAGTAGGAAGTGCTGTGCTTTGGCTGAAGAAAGACATTGCATCATTTCATGTTTGGGAGGAACTCTATTGGACCAAAGGTGATATAGCTTTGTAGGTGGATGGGTGCCAGCAGCATCTATGATCCTTAAGTTGTATCCTTCATCCATCTATTCATTCATTCATTCATTCATTCAGCCAACACTTTTTGAGGGCCTGTTACCTGCTAGGCACTGTTTTGGTGGTTTGGAATAACTACCAAGCAGATAAGCAAAAATTCCTGCCCTTCTCAGTCATTATTTTGGGGACGGAGGGACAGGCAATCAAAAAAAACCACAGCAGAAACCAGTGTGTCTCAGTGGATAGAGCATCAGCTTGCGACTGAAAGGGTCCCAGGTTCGATTCCAGTCAAGGGCATGTATCTTGGTTGCAGACACATCCCCAGCAGGGTGTGTGCAGGAGGCAGCTGGTCGATGATTCTCATCCATGTTTCTAACTCTCTGTCCCTCTCTCTTCCTCTCTGTAAAAAATCAATAAAATACATTTTTTTTTAAAAAAGAAAAACCACAACAAAGGAGCAAATCATCCACAGTAGAATGTTATTAGTTGAGGAGTGCCTTGAAAAAAAAAAAAAAGAAAGAAAGAAAAACAACCTCAGGGTAAGGGGAATATTGGGGGAAGTGTGGATTCTTCAAGAAGGTGATCTTTGCCTGGCCGGTGTGGCTCAGTGGTTTGAGTATCACCCTATAAAACCAGGAGGTCACTGTTCGATTCCCAGTCAGGGCACATGCCTGGGTTGTGGGCTCCATCCTCAGTAGGGGGTGTACAGGAAGCAGCCGATCAATGGTTCTCTGTCATCATTGATGTTTCTCTCTCTCTCTCTTCCTCTTTATCAACAATAAAAGAACACACACAGATGCCCTAGCATTAAAAAAAAAAAAAAAAAAAAAAAAAAAAAAAAGTGATCTTTGAGCAAAGACTTGGAGGAAGGGACCCAACATGGTGGCTATTGGGAGAGAAGACTCCAGGAAGAGGAAGTAGCCAGGGCAAAGGTCCTGGGGTGGTCAGAGGGTTGGGCATCATTGGCTACAGGTGGGCGGATGGATGGCACTAATAGAGGTGGTGTCCAAGGCCTGGCCAGGCTAGAAGTGGGGTGCTTGGTGCTCCCCACATCCCATGTGCAATTCTGTGTCCGATGCTGAGATCTCCTTATTTTCTTTTATTTTTAAAAATATATATATTTTATTGATTTTTTACAGAGAGGAAGGGAAAGGGATAGAGAGCTAGAAACATCGATGAGAGAAAAACATCCATCAGCCGCCTCTTGCACACCCCCTTCTAGGGATGTGCCCGCAACCAAGGTGCATGCCCTTGACAGGAATCGAACCTGGGACCCTTCAGTCCGCAGGCCCATGCTCTATCCACTGAGCCAAACCGTTTTTGGCTTAAATATCTTTTTATTGATTTCAGGGAGGAAGAGAGAGAGGGAGAGAGGGATCGAAGCACCAATGATGAGAATCATGGATGGGCTGCCTCCTGCACGCCCCACCCTGGGAATCGAGCCCACAACCCAGGCATGTGCCCTGACCGGAAATGGAACCGTAACCTTTTGGTTCATAGGTCGGCGCTCAACCACTGAGCCATGCCAAGTGGGAGAGACCTTTCGTTTTTATTTTTGTGTGTAGTGTGTTTTTTTCTTTTCTTCTTCTTTTTCTTTTTTGTTGTTTTTTCCTTGGGGGCCCCTGTCGCCTGGCCCTTGCCCATAGATGGGTGTGGGGATGGTAAAGATGCAGACGTCACGGGACATGGGGAAGCTCGGCTGTAAGAGAGGACAGTGGGGACCGCGTGATTGCGGTACCCACCCTGACAGCCGCCCGGTGGCCCAGGACGTGGTGGCCCTTGGGGGGGGGGGGGCGGTTAGAGCAAAAGGTGTTGGCTCCGAGGAAGCTCCTGTTGGCAGGGGTGAGGAGGAACTTTCCCAGGACGGCAGCTCATTCCTGGGGCGGCTGTTGCCACTGCCGTGGAAATGATGGGGCCAGGGTTTGGGAACGGCTGTCAAGGGGAATACAGGGAGAATTACATCTGACCGTGGTCCTGGGCGCTCGTAGGAAAAGTTGAACCGTTTCCCAAATGTTACTTCTTCTTGTTCTTCTTCTTTTTTTTTTTTTTTGTTAATCCTCACCCGAGCATATTTTCCCATTGATTTTTTAGGGAGAGCGGATGAGAGAGGGAAAGACAGAGAGGAACATCCATATGACAGAGACACATCGATCGGTTGCTTCCGGGGAGAGCCTGGTATGTTCCTCTTGACTGGAATGGAACCAGGACACTTTGGTTCGATTCCTCCTCCGCAAGTCAGTGCTCTATCCACTGAGCCAACTCAGCCAGGGCATTCCTTTTCCTTTAAAAAAAAAAAAATTATTATTATTTATTTTACAGAGAGGAACGGAGAGGGAGAGTTAGAAACATCGATGAGAGAGAAACACTGACCAGCTGCCTCCTGCACACCCCCTACTGGGGATGTGCCCACAACCAAGGTACATGCCCTTGACCGGAATCGAACCTGGGACCTTCCAGTCCGCAGACTGACGCTCTATCCACTGAGCCACACCGGTCAGGGCATTACTTTCCCCCACTTTTTTTTTTTTCTTGTTTTTTACTTTTCCTTTTTATGATCTTTGCAGCTTGATACGTTCTGTTGTGTGTCCTTCCTTCCTTCCTTCCTTCCTTCCTTCCTTCCTTCCTTCCTTCCTTCCTTCCTTCCTTCCTTTCTCTCTCTCTCTCTCTCTCTCTCTCTCTCTCTCTCTCTCTCTCTCTCTCTCTCTCTTTCTTTCTTTCTTTCTTTCTTTCTTTCTTTCTTTTTTAATGTTGAGAGGGAGCCACTCCATTGGTTTTGGGGCTTACTTAGGGGTTCAGGTTATTCCATCCTGGGGGATGTTAGGAAGCAGGAATGGGGGTGGGTTGGGGGGGTGGACTGTGCCTCTTCTAAGGTCGTCCTGTCTCCTGCCTGGCTGCGTGAAGGTGTGTGGCGAAGGTCTCCCCTCCTTGGCTGTGTCTTCAATCCTATTATCCCACGTACATTAATCTTGCACCGCTCCTCCCACCCGCGTCCTGGCTGCGTGTGGCAGAATCCTAAGCGCGGACACCCCCCACAGGGCACGGGCCTGAGTGCTGTGGGTGCAGCCAGGACCTCAGGGGGACAGATCCGAGCAGAAATTAGAAATTGATTTCAGAAGCAACTAGCCGCCAAAACTGGTTTGGCTCAGTGGATAGAGCGTTGGCCTGCAGACTGAAAAGTCCCAGGTTCGATTCCGGTCAAGGGCATGGACCTTGGTTGCGGGCACATCCCCAGTGGGGGTTGAGCCGGAAGCAGCTGATCCGTGATTCTCTCTCAACGATGTTTCTAACTCTCTATTCCTCTCTCTTCCTCTCTGTAAAATCAATAAAATATATATATATAATTTTTTTTAAAAAAAGAAGCAACTAGTCCCGGTGTCCGTCGGCCGCGTGGATTCGGTCACAGACAAGTGGGTGCCAGGAGCATTGGCGGGGGGAGAAGGACTAAAGGGGCAAGACCACCGAAACCGGTTTGGCTCAGTGGATAGAGCGGCGACCTGCGGACTGAAGGGTCCCAGGTTCGATTCCGGTCAAGGGCATGGACCTTGGTTGCGGGCACATCCCCAGTAGGGGGTGTGCAGGAGGCAGTTGATCCATGATTCTCTCTCATCGATGTTTCTAACTCTCTCTTCCTCTCCCTTCCTCTGTAAAAAAAACAAAACAAAAAAAAAAACAAAAAAAAAACCCAACAACAAAAACAAACAAACAAAAAATATATATTTTAAAGGGGGGGCAAGACCCAGGCCAGACCCTCACGGGGCGCCCCATGGAGAGATCCACAGGTTTCCCCCAAACCTCCCACTGGCCGCCGAGGGTCTCGGAGCCGCCGGAAGGGACCGGGGCGGCGATGGGAGGGTCTGGGGGTGGGTGGGGGGCGGGGATCGGTGGCCCCATTTCCCTCCGCGCCCAGCGATCCAGCCGCCTCGGGGGGGGGGGGGGGGGTGTGTGTGGGGAGGGGGGTCCCAGGACGCACGCGGCCTCTCCAGGCGCGCCCCCAGTTGGCGCCCCCGAGGCCGGCCGCAGCGCCCAGGAAGGGGAAAGGGGGGAGGGGAAGGGGCGGAGGGCGGGGGGAGGGGAGCGGAGCTGGGAGAGGCAGGACGGACGCCGTCCACTTCCTCCTCCGGCGCCGCCCTTCGCCCCGCGATCCCGGGAGAGCTTTCCTCCGGGAGCCGGGCCAGCGGGACCGCGCGGCGGGGGTCGGAGGGGCGCGCTCCCGACGGCCACGTGACCCGCACCCCAACCTCCCCCCGCAACCCCCCAGGTCCGGGGGCGGGGCCGCCGCCCGCGCGTCCAGTGGAGCCACCTGAGCCCGAGCCCGGAGTTGCCGTTGCTGTCGGAGCCGCGCGCGCCGTGATGGCCCCGGGGACCCGGCCGCCGCCGCCGCCGCCGCCGCCGCTGCTGCTGCTCCTCCCGCTGCTGCTCCTCCCGCCGCCCGCGACGTGGGCGCTCGTCCCCCGGATCAGCCTGCCGCTGGGTGAGTGCGGGGCGCGGGCCCGGGGCGGGGAGGCGGCCCCGAGCGCCTCGTGCGGACGGCGCTGTGACAAAGGACGCAGGGGGCCCGTTGGAGACGTGGGGGACCCCTCCTCCTCCTTTGAAAGCGCCGCGCGCGGGGGGCGCGCGGGAGAGGGGAGCTGTGGGGGCCGCGGGCTCCTTTCTTCCATTCTTTCAATGCGAGACCCCCTGCTGCCTCTTTAGGGTCCCCTTTCGGCGGTGACACCCCAACCCCCAACCCCTGGCGCTGGCTGCCCGCCGGCCCGCCTGCGCATCTGCTTGTCTTTGATGCTGACCAGAGCCAGCCGCGGTGCCGCCCCCGGGGCAGCGCGGGGTAGAGGGAGGGGGCTGTGCTGGCGGCCATAAACACTGGGGTTTGGTATTCCAGCCCAAGTCACCGAACGAAGGGCCGGCGCCCCATCATCCTTCACCTTAATGGTCGCGGTGGGATCCCCCCAGGACCTGGGAGGGGTCGTACGAGGGAGGGGGGCACTCTGGGTGCGCCAGGAGGACCATCCTCCTGGACCAGTTTCTCCCCTGGAGCTCACAGCTGCTTCTGTGGCTCCCTCCCTTTGCCAGCCCTCTGCTCTCCCCTCTCCTTACCGCCCCTCCACCCCCAATCCTGGTTGCTTGCTTCTCCGATTTCTCTTTGAAGCCAGAGGCACTAGGATGCTAAGCCCATTTCTACAACGAGGCAGGTCAGCCCCTCCTCCCCAAGCCCTGGGTCGCTGGCCTGCAAAAATACTCCCCCGGTCACAGCTACTTGTCTCGGAGAGCTGGTGAAACCAGGTGTATAGCGTGGGTGTTACGTCTATAGGTGTTGTTTTCTCCGAGCCCTTTCCCTCGCTGGCTGTCACACGGCGTGAGTTAGAATAAAGGACCCTGTCACATTCCGGGCGACAGGCTTCCTGTGCGTATAGCATCCCCACCCCTAAGAGCGATCCCGTTGGCAGAAGGAAAAGAGGCGCAGAATCAGCACTCGGATCAGCTCTCGTGGCCCCGAGTCACCCCAGCTTGAAACGGGGCCCCGGGAGTGCTGAGAAGGTGGCCTGGCTTGCAAACCAGCCTCACGTAGGAGCCACGTGACCTCGAACAGGCCGCCTAGCCTCCCCGGGCCTTGATTTCCTCATCTGTGAAATGGGAGAACAGGGGCCGTGAGGAGTCCGTCCCGTTTGTATCTGAAAAGTCCTTAGGACCGGGGCTTGGCACTAGGAAGCGGACAGGGAGTGCTCGCTGTCATTGCTGTTGTGTTAGGCACCGACTCCGGGCCTGGCACTCCAGCCTGGCACGTCCTGCAGATCTGGGGCGATTCTGCCCGGGGTGGGGCGCTGCTGGCCTGTGGTTGGACCGCAGCCCCTTGGGAGCTCCGGCTTGGTAAGTGAGGGTGCATGCGTTTCCGGAGCTGGGCCGTTTCTCCCTTCTGCTCTCAGACTCTCTCGGCTTTGGGAGCAGGTGAGAGGCGGTGGGGACTGATGCTCAAAGGCACTCCATGTACGGATGGCCCCAGGGACATGTCAGAGGTCCCAGGTCTGTGACCGGCTCTGGAGCTCCACGGAGGACCACGCAGGGGGGGGTCCCCTAAGTTGGGGAGCCGGGAGAAGGAACCAAGAGCACCTGTTTTTTCTGAGAGCAGCTGGGATACTTGGGGGTGATTTCCCCACGCGGCTCCGAGACCTGGCCACTTCCTCAGCCCCATGACCACTGCCAGGCCGCGGTACGGCTGCCTCACGCCGGCACCCCCTGCTCAGGGCACTTGGCGCTGTGGTCAGCGTGTCTGTGTTGCCCTCAGATTCATGGCAGCTCTGGCTGCTGTAGTCCTGGACAGAGCCTCGGCCGGAGGACTGAAGGGTCCCGAGTTCCGTTCTAGTCGGAGGCATGCCAACCAAGGGGCGCGGACCTCAGTTGCAGGCTGAGTCCCTGGCCCTGGAGAGGGTGCTTGTGGGAGGCCACCAGTTGCTATGTGTCTCTCACATCAATGTTTCTCTCTCTCTCTCTCTCTCTCTCTCTTCCACTCACTCTAAAAATCAGTGGAAACATATCCTTGAGTGACGATTAACCCCCCCACACACACACACAGACAAATCATGTTAAAAATCCTAACCCCGGGAGGACTGTAAGGACCCCCGAGATGACACATTTGGGGGGCACCGCTGAGGGGTCGAAATGCAGTCCATATTCCGCCCTCCGAGCTGTGACTCCTGGAGGAAGTAGGACACCCCCCCCCCCCCCCGTGTCCCTGAGCCTGGGTCAGCCCAGAGGGGACTTCTTGTTCTGGTCCCGCCAAGCCTGGCAGAGGTCAGCGGCTCCCTGGCACCTGACCTTGTGAGCTGAGCAAGCATCCACGCTTTACTGAGCCTCACCACAGCCCGGAGTGCCCGCCCCCCCGGGCTTCCTCCTGGCCGTGGCCACCCGCCCCCTCCCCCTCCCGTCTGTGTGCAGTGTGTCCTGCAGGGCTGGGTGCCCCCGAGGGGAATTCTCCGGTGACTGGCTAGGCTTACCTTCCCACCGGGGCTGGAGATGGCTTCCTGCCTCACCCCTGGGGGCTCGTTAGATGTTCCTGGCAGCCTGCCCGCCCTGGGCAGGACCATGGTGACCATGGGACACCGGGCACCAGGCCCCTGGGCACCTGCTTCTCAGAACAGGGAGGAAGGCATGGAGCTAGAGCCCATCCCCGCTTCCCTGCCATCTGCTCTCAACCTCCTGACCCCTCCCCCCCCAATCCTGCTCCCCCCAAGGCATGGATGCCTGGACACAGCAGGCTGTGTCTGGGGTTTGACATAAACCCCTAACGTGGAGCGTCCTTCCCATGGGACCCTCATGACTGTCCATCAGATTCCTGGGGCCGCCAGGAGGGGGGTTGCATGCTCATGGCCAGGATGCGGAGGGGGCCTGGAGGCTCCAGGCTCAGCCCTGCAGGCCGGGGCCCTCCGAGGACGTGGCTGGTCTCCGGGAGAGACGCTTTGGAGACGCGCGTGGGATTTGGGTTCCGCTGGGTTGGCAGCTGGGTGGCATGGCGGGTGTGGCGGGACCCAGGGGGCCGCTGTGTCGGGAGCAGGAGAGACGCCGAGTGGAAAGGAGGGCCGGGGAGTGTGAGCCAGCCTCGAGGGGAGAAACGAAGGGAAGTCTTAATGGGTCCCCTTATTTGGGCAGCTAAAAGGAGCTGTTCATTCTCACCCTGCCCCGGAGTGCCCGCCCGGGAAGCCTCGGACTCCGTGTTTCCAAACCAGATCGGAACAAAACCCCATTGAGCCCAGAGAATGGGGCACGAATCAGCCACTTGGCCTCTGACCCCGGAGTGGGCACCCAGGGTCAGTCTGCTCTGAGAAGCCCGTAACAGTACAGGCGGTTTTTGTGTTTTTTTTTGTTTTTTAATTTTAGAAAGAGGCGGGGAGAGAGAGGGAGAGAGGAACATCAATGTTGAGAGAGAGTCATTGATTGGCTGCCTCTTGCATGCCCCACACTGGGGATCGAGCCCACAACCCGGGCATGTGCGCTGACTGGGAATCAAATCAGGGCCTCCTGGTTCCTAGGTCGACGCCCAACCACTGAGCCACACCAGCCAGGCCAGGCCGCTTTTGAGGTCCTGTTCTGGATGGTGACTTGTTTCCCTCCAGGGAAGCTGCATGGACGGAGCCCCAAGTGTGGGTGCTGCTGGCCTGGCGTTGAAGACTACTAGCTAGTCCTTCTTTTATTTATTTATTTTTTAAATATATTTTTATTGATTTTAAGAGGAAGAGAGAGGGAGAGGGCAAGAGAGAGAATCCTTGATCGGCTGCCCCCTGCACAATCGGGAACTGAGCACACAACCCAGGCAGGTGCCCTGACCGGGAATCGAACCGTGGCCTCCTGGTGCCTAGGTCAACTCTCAACCACTGAGCCACCACAGCCCGGTGAGGTCCCGCCGCCTCTAGGCCCCTTTTCACATTGGCAAGATGGGAATCAGAACAGGAACCTTCACGGGGTTAATGGATGTGAGGTCTGGCACGGGCAGCGTCCCCAGTAAAAGCCCTGGCTGGTTTGGCTCAGTGGCTAGAGCGTCGGCCTGCGGACTGAAGGGTCCCTGGTTCGATTCCAGTCAAGGGCATGTGCCCGGGTTGTGGGCTCCATCCCCAGCATGCAGGAGGCAGCCGATCAGTGATTCTCTCTCATCATCGATGTTTCTCAATCTCTCTCTATCTCTCTCTCTCTCTTCCTTCCTCTCTGAAATCAATAATACACACACACATATACAGACACATATATTTATATATAGGCAGCGGCCCCGGCTCCCCTCGGTGGGAATTTCCAGCCTGGCGAGGTGGTTGCATTCATTGGGTAGACACTGTCTGAGCCTGGCTGGATCCAGGCCCCCTGCAAGGTATCAAGGCTGCCAGCCGGGAAGAAGTGGCGCAGACTTCCTCACCGTGGCCCTGGGGGCGAAGCAGAGATGATGATGCTTCATGTAGTCCCGTGGTCGGCAAACCGCGGCTCGCGAGCCACCTGCGGCTCTTTGGCCCCTTGAGGGTGGCTCTTCCACAGCATACCACGGCCTGGGCGAGGCTATTCTGAAAAAGTGGTGTTAGAAGAAGTTGAAGTTTAAAAAAAAGTTGGCTCTCCAAAGACATGTCAATCGTTGTGCTGTTGATACTTGGCTCTGTGGACTGATGAGTTTGCCGACCACTGGGCTGGTCCCCTGTCCAAGTGCTCCCTGTTCAGCTCTTCCAAATGCCTCCTCCTCTGCCGGGGGCTGGGCTGCACCGCCCTCCTCCCTGCCCCTTGCGGCTCCACTCTGCCCTCTGCATGACCCACGCTCAGCTGGGTGTGGACATGCCTGTGAGCTCTGAGCTTGCACAATTTTGGGGGCACACCTGCTCGCTCCTCCTGCAGACTTAAGAGAGGCGGGTGGCCCCGGGGCCTGGAGGAAAGGTGGGGTAGGGTCGTGTTGTCAATCACTCTTTCCTGTTTCCCCTTCTTAGGGCCTGTGCCCTTCCCCCCACCACCACC